TATGTATGTATTTGTGTATGTATGTATACATATACATATCAGCTTTTTCCTAATTTTCTGGCATTCATGAAAGAACAATTGTTTCACAGATTATGAGTCTCGTTACACGTCTAAGGTATGGATTGCCATCATGCATCTCGCTGAGAAACCTGTTGCGGACTGACATGATTGCTAAATCCAATGTCAGTTCAAATAGGCGATGGACTCACTCGGAACCATGGCATATCGACAACATGCCCGAGCTTATCAGACTCAGGAACGGAGAAAAGGTAGGTGTGGGTCATGACCTCCTCAACGAAGGACCTAGAACAAACGCAGATCCAGTAGGGTAGCACGGGTCCCCTTTCCCTGTTTTGCCACTAAGTTTAAATTTCATTGCATATCAATGTTATGAAATAAAATAAATCCTACTTCTCTATTCTGAAAATGTTGTGCCTTCTGTTAGAAAAATTCTGGATCTGCCTTTGCAGAATGGCCTAAAAAAGACTGGATCCAAGATTTCAGTTGAAAGTATGGCAGAATCAATTTTTTTAAAATCTGCCGCAGACATTTCTCAACAGAAAGCATTTGTAACGACATTTCAAATTTAGAAATGTCCGGGATATGAAATTGTCCTCGGCAGAGTTACCAAATATGAACAATGTCCATCTGTATCTTTATATCCTTACAAAATGTCTGTCTCCCCAATGTACAGTATGATAAACAAGTATTTGAAAGAGTATTAAAATTGTGTTTGTGAGGAGAACATTGTTGGCTGCAGAAATTTGCCAACAGAGGTAAAGATAAAGTAAAGGTTGGAGAATAACCCATAACTTGCAGTGTCATTGTGCTGAATTGCGTATGAGTGTGGTCCGTGACTACAGCAGCCGTAAAGAGGCGCTTCAAGGATGCTACACGTTCCTATCATTCCATGACAGGGACTGAAATGAACCATAACATAGGAGTAACCCCCTACTCTTCCGAAAGATGCAATGGGTTCTTTAAAGTGCACACAAGCCAGATGTACACGGGATTGGAAATACACAATTGGAAATTTGTTGTTTGATGCACTACGTAAAATTGTAAAAAAGTTTAGAATAAAAAGTCTAACACACAGAAAATACAAAAGGTCGAACACACAAAAAAACAATATTGCAAACAAAAGGATCATATATTCATTATAACAAGTTAATCCGAGAAGACTTGGTTCTACCAGCCGAAGCGCCGACATTAAGGCTGTAGTAGCGCGCTGTTAGGATTGTTGAATAAAATTTCTGGTATAAATTTTATGGTGAGGATGGCCCAAGTTTATTAGACGGCTGTACAGCACTGCCCTTGTTACTCTATACAGTGTATAGCCTCCTGATCAGTTGGTTAAAATTAATAATCATCAAATGTAGACTTGGTTGCCAAAATTATGCCATATGCAAATTTTTATAAAGCCTATCTCTTCAATCCACATTTACTTGGTTTCTGTAGGCCAAGGGCACTTTTTCTAAAGCGGAAATGGATGGAAGGATCAGCAAACTTCGCAATGTAATGGCAAATGAAAGCATTGAGGGCGTGCTGTTTACTTCAATTCATAATGTCAATTATTACTCTGACTTCTTATATTGCGAGTTTGGACGGCCATATGGCTTAGTTGTGACGCAGGATAAAGTTCTTTCAATTTCTGCTAACATCGATTATGGATATCCCTGGCGTTGGACTGCGAACGGTGATAACTTAGTTTACACAGACTGGCAACGTGACAACTTTTATAAAGGTGTAAATCAAGAGCTCGGCCAATTTAAAGGAAAAATTGGTTGTGAATTCGACCACATAAATTTAGACAAGTACAAAAAACTTCAAAATGCTTTACCAGGTAGCACGTTGGTGGATGTCGGAGAGTCGACAATGTACCTGCGTATGATAAAATCTGATGAAGAGATAGCCCACATCACAGAAGGTGCTCGGATTGCCGACATTGGCGGTGAAGCAGTAATTGAGGCGCTTGAAGAGGGTGTTGGCGAACATGAGATAGCTCTCCACGCTACTCAGGCTATGGTGAGGGAAATTGCGAAAAGTCGGCCAAATATGACGCTTCAGGATAGTAAGTACAATTGAATTACAATTACTGTATTTTAGTTTGCTTGTTGAAACAAAAACAATTACAAAATAGTTTTGCTTTAAGTTAGTTTTCTTTTAAGATTTATTATGGATCCATTATTAGCTTATACAAGTCAAAACTTTTTCTAATATTAAATTGAGAAAAGTATAAATCCTTCTCAAACCATGGGGCTCATATGTGCTGCAGGTTACTTCTAGCAACAACTGATACAGCTGTGTAGATAAAGTGCCTTGCTAATGGACACAAGTGGAATGCACAGCGAAGGATTGATAGTTTCTATCTGGATCTTGATGTGATTAAGTCGGTAGTTTTAACCTAGGTCGTACAGTATGATGTTATTTCAATTTCAGTCACAGATCTCTGTCTGTAATAATTCCAACCTATGCCTTCAGAATTTTTGTGACAATCTATTTTTTCTTTACAATTTAGCGTGGACGTGGATCCAGTCAGGAATAAACAGTGATGGTGCCCACAATCCAGTTACCAGTCGAAAAGTGCAGAAAGGTGATGTCTGCACCATGAATTGTTTCCCTATGATGGCAGGGTAGGTCTATAATCATCCACTATGATGGTTTTTCTACAGAACCAGTGCTACAATCATAAACAGATCCAGGATTTGAAGTGATGGGGTTCAACATTTTTCTAAAAATATTAACCCAAAAGAAGGCTGGGGGAGGGGCCTCTCCCCAAAAATTTTGATTCCTAGATGGCCGGAAATGAGCTTTTCGACTTCTGAGGGGGTCTTTTAATTCTGTAGAAAGTCAATTTGGCTTTTTTAAAGCTTCTTTGATGTTTGTTTGTAATAACTAATTCCGACAAGGAGTGTCTTCTCTTTGAAAACTTTAAAAAAAAGGAATGCTTGACAGCGTATATATAATTATTTTCAAGTTCTTCAAAATTCACCCCCCTTTAAAAAGGCCATGTAGTTTTATCGCATTCTTACACAGTAAAGCCTATTATATGTGTATGCATACAGAAAAAGAAAACAGACAATACAGTATCCCAATATATTAAGATCCCAAAAAAAAAGATATTGTTTAATAGAATCAAATGGCTTCAATTCAGTCCCTTGTTATCATAAACAATGGTCAATCCAAAACAATGTTTTTAATTTTATTTAATTGATGATATATTTAGGCGAAGCGTAGCGTATCCGGTCTGCCTACAGTCCTAGGCAGTTCAGCCTGCCTTTTGTACGCCAGGATCCAAGTAGTACTGTACAGTGGTGAATCATGCAGGAATTCGAAGGGGCCCACAAATGAAGGGTCTAGATTTTACTGGTTGGGAGCTGGGGTAGAAAAGTTTATGATTATAGCACCTCTAGATGGGCCATGGAAATGGCACTCTTAGACTTGAACTTGGATATAAAAGTAGACGGGCCACCTTTGAATCCACCGACTGCAGTACTTTTTTTATGTTTCATCACAGAGGGGTTCGTCCGCTACAAAAACAATATAACCTAATTTGGATAACAGCCTACAAGCCTAATTTGCATAGCTTGGATTGAATTGGATTTATTCGGTGTAAACACCAAGGATAGCCCATGAAATTCTAGAAGAAGACTTATTTACGAGTGGGGTCCTTCTGGTGGTGATTGGGCAGTACACTGGGAGAAAATCTCCAACTCTTTTTCGAAGAGTGTACTGTGTTCTTTAACGTGCACATGGGCCATATAACTGCACACAGGACCAACAGCTGAAACATAAGAAGAGGCAGCGATGGGAATTGAACTAAGAACCTAGAGATTGGCTACCACCAGATTATCCAACTAAGCTAAGCTGCTTAAACTGAAGAAGCGGTGTTTAAAGCGTTGCTTTAAACGCTGGCAAACAAATTCTAAACGGGGCCTGGCAACAATAGCCTTATACCATAAGAAAAACGAATGAAAAGAACAAATACAGCATTTGATTTCAAATAACGTAACATCTAAGAGTGAGATAAAATTACTAATAATACTCATTTTCACTATTATGTCTTACAAGTATATTATATTTATTATTATTTGTTCATGTATTCAGATATTACACAGCTTTAGAGCGAAGTGTATTCCTAGACCATGTATCAGATGACTCCCTACGCATATGGAAGGCCAACTGCGAGGTTCATGAGGCCGGCATGAAACTCATCAAGCCTGGAATCAAGTGCAAAGAAATAGCGCATGAGATGAACACCATTTACGAAAAGCACAACATCTTGCATTATCGTACATTCGGGTATGGCCATTCATTTGGTGTACTGTCTCACTACTACGGACGGGAAGCAGGTAAATAATTTGTTTAGATTTAGACTCACATGGTGTTGAAAATATTTGGGGTTTTTTTGACTACTACTACTACTATTATTATTATTATTATTGTTATTATTGGCTTTCCCCAGTAGTACTGGGAAAAGCCATTGTTTTTGTATTTATTTTTTTTTCTTGCATATATCTTTCCTATCTTTTTGCACTGTTTTTTTCTGGCCGTCACTGTGGTCGCTGATTTGGTAAACCAGCTAGGTTAAACTCAAAACTACCGTGATATGCATGAAGAATTTTTTGCTTTCAGTCATTGAATCGCTATGACCTGAAAATGCACATTTTATGCAAGGTCGGCCCATATAACGCGCAATGGTTATGGGTCACGATGTACCTCGCTATTACCATTGCAGCCATAGTTCAAGTCTCACTAATAACGTTGCAGTGAACTTGGTTTTCGTTGTTTTTTTTTCCACTTCATTAAAATTATATTGGTTTTCCATGTTTTTTTTTTTTACTTTGTACCTTTTAACGACTTTTCTTTTTGTTGCAATTTCAACTTCATTTCTCATTAAAGTAATGGGGAAAAGCCCTATGTTTTGTTGTTCAAACAGACATAGTAAGTCTAGTTAATATATTATTATTATTATTATTATTATTGTTATTATTAGTATTATTATTATTATTATAATTATTATTATTATTACTGTATTATTATTATCATCATCATCATCAAAATGCATGTTCCATGAAAATTGGATATAATGCAATATGTTATGAATGTAGACCTAATACTTGTTATATAAACTTGATGCTGCAGTTGTTTAATATATAACATGTTGGTGATGATCAAAAGATATCCCATCCACATATGCTTCAATATATATAACATAAGTAGGCAGAAAAGAAGAATGTTATTTCTTGTGAAGAATGTTGTTTCTTTTCTGCAAACCAAACTAAACCAAACCAATACCAATACAAGTTAATTTCGGCCAGAAGTGCACTCCTAAATATTTGAATTTTGTATGAATTATTTATGTTTCTGTTGTTTATTTCAGCTCTTGAAATTCGTGAAGATATTGAAACTGTTTTAAAACCAAATATGGTAGTGTCCATTGAGCCAATGGTCACGCTGCCACAAGGACAACCTGGTGCAGGAGGCTATCGCGAGCACAACATACTTGTTGTCACCGAAGAGGGCGCAAGAAACATTACTCATTTTCCATACGGACCAGAACACTTGATTGTAAAGAAGTGAATAGTGCCAAGCAAATTTGATTGACAAATTTGACTGAATGTGCACTTACCACCTATGAATTTTGCTACTAAATAATAAATGATATTAATAGATGTGTATAAGAGACAGGTCTGTAATAATTCCAACCTATGCCTTCAGAATTTTTGTGACAATCTTTAGAAACACTCAAATTAATTGAAAATTTATTAGATTATCACTTCCGCCCAGGTAAAAAATTTTGGAAATATTGATGCAGGAATAACTTTATTATTCTATTTTTTTTGGTCGCATCATTTATTTTAACTGCATAAAAACAATTTTGCAAAAAACAAATGCTCACAAATAACTGCGGTTAAAAATAGACAACACCGCGGTCTGTCCCTAAAGACCGCGGTGTTGATCGTTAATTCACAGCGTGTAGACTCGCTTGTTCCACAGCTGCGGCTAAAAATAGTCACTACATAATGCATTACAAGTGAGCAGTCTTCCTTGTGGTGGGTGTGTTTGGTTGGATTGCTTGTTGTTGGGCAAAAACTAACCTACGACATCAAGAAAGGAAGTTTAGGCAAAGGCTGGCTTACCTCAATAAGCTCAAGGTAAAGACCAAAGCATAGGCACCTATGCCCACTATATAACTAGAATTATGGTGTTTCCTTCTCTTTTTGATGCATGGGTAATGTCTGATTTTTTCACCGGAATATAGGCCTAGTTTTGGGTAGGCCAGTGGAATCACAGGGTAGTTGTTTAAATGCAGATGTCATGTTCATTCTGTTCATGCACACGGGAATCCCTGGGGTATAATCTTCCCCCCCCTTCCAAAAAAAACCTCCCACCCTCATCAATTTTTTGTAAAAAAAAGTGATAATCTAATAATTTTTTCTGCATGCCCTTATCAAGATTACCGATATGCAGTATTATGGTCTACATGTATATTGTATGTTGTATGAGTGTTTGTTTATATATGTTACTAAAACCTACCTATAGTATATAGTATATTACAATATAGTAATATACTATATAATATAGTAATATACTATAGTATATAGTATATTACTATATTGTTGAAAAGTGTGATCTTCCTCACTACAAAATGCTGCTTTAACTTAACTTTCAAATTTTTATAGTAATCGTATCTGTACACCATACACAGTATGCTATTTTTAGGCTGAATTTGCTGTTTTATAATTACTGGTATAATACAACATATTAAATCAATTGAGCATGCTTATATATTATATAAAATGCAAAACATTTTAATCAATCAGGTTTGTAGTAATAATTCAAAATAATCATGATATAAATTGTAGTTTAGTCTATTAGTGGTAAACACCCTCATAATTTTATATGGTACATGTGTATGTCACATATTAAGTTATTAATTTACAATAAATACACATTAAATTATAACTATAAATAACGCATATAATTAAATAAATTATACACGTAGTTTAATTGTAGGAATTTTTCATCATAATCATGCTTGAAATGTAGATATAGATTTGGACATGCAAGTACAGTATAACATTAATAGTAATTATTTAGATAATATGGGAAAATAGAATTGTTTTAGAAAACTTTTTTTTTGTTATGCTTGAAATGTAGTTATAGATTTGGAATATCAATATGCATGAATTTAATGAATTAATAATCATTAATTAACTTAATGATTAGTGATGTTAGTATCTTCTTGTTGAACCTTTGTGTCAAGTATTCATATCAAATAAATACAAATAAACATAATTATATGCTTATTGTTTATAAGACTTGCATACAAAATTTGCATATTTAAGTGATTGACACTGTCACAGGATTGTAGATATGTAAATAATTTTTCGTTTACAATTTCATAAGTAAAATTTATCATGTGCACTTTGAGTAATGCCAACGTCTTCAGTGCCACTGAACATTGCATCTGCCATGGATACTTGCTTTACAAAGTACTGTTCAGTGTTGGGCTAGGTGTATAATAGCATGGGTCCAAGGCCCTAATTTATTTACTTAGTGCACGTCGTACCCAATTTTATTGGTGTACCATACTCAATTTTTTTTTATTCCGTCTCTAAATTAACTTGCTTGTTGGTGCACTGTCCAAAATGGATTCAAAGGTCTCCCTACATTTATGTATGGAGAAAATTTTGTTTTTTGAAATTAAATTTTGAAGTACATTTCCTTACCTTACACCCAACCGAGGCGGTATAGGCTCCCCCTCTAATAAAAATTCCTGGATCTGGAGATGATGGTACCAAATTAAGTCCAGCATCAAAGAAGACACTCAAAACACATTTTTTTTTTTGCTTTCTTCAGAAAAGTATAATTTATTTTTTCATTGTCCTATTGCATTATCAAAACATTTAGGTCTATAATTGTACTACACCATTTTTCATAAGCTAAATTATACACTCTTAAGGTTATTTCAACCTTTTGACTACATATGTATGGAACTGACCTGTCCTACAATCTACAGAGTAGGCTACCGATTTTATTTGACAAAAACATGTGACATGCCTAAATATGGTTATGATGACATCACATCATGACTATATATGGGCACATGGTGACTATATATGGGCACATCGTGACTACATATGGGCACATGGTGACTACATATGGGCACATGGTGACTATATATGGGCACATCATGACTATATATGGGCACATCATGACTATATATGGGCATACAGCAGTTTCTTGTAGAAGAAACATGATAGTGTGGACAGAATTAAGCCCTGTCCAGACTATCAAATCTTACTTAACAAAAAAATGTGACGTCTAAATATGGTCACATCACATCATGACCATATATAGGCACATTATGACTTTATATGGGCATACAACAGCTTTTTGTCAAAAAATATTTGAAAATCTAGACAAAGCATTACACCACAGCTATGTATTCTTGTATGCCTAAAAATAAAATATAAAATACTTATATATATAAATTGCAATAACCCATTACATCAATGACCAAATGCAGAAACAAAGATGTCTGTATATTTATCATACAGTACTATAAATCTTCATAGAAGAAAGTTCGATTTTATTAGTGGCCCTCAATCTAGATGTTACCTTACATATACTTGCCTACACTGAGTGCACAGCTAATGTGACCATGGACCTGGTCTAGTTCAATGCTAATTGTCCATACGTTGCATTTAGAGGCCACACATGGCCCAGCCGGCAAGGAATCACAATAAATTATTCATTCAAATAATTTGTTAAGGCAGGGAATTTACATGAGAAATAACTCCAAACATGGTGGTCTGAGCCAGGTGTGGCTCATCTGTTCTATGAAGAACGCAGCGCGACAACGCGTGCGCAACTGATCGTTCTTAATGACGATCCGTTCAGACGACCGCAGACGGCGTTGAATGGTCTAGCGCTCACAAGGAGCGGAGTCCGACGGTGGTATGACCGTCATACAATGCAGTGAATGTATGGATTAATGAGAACGATGGTCAACCTGTCAGGAAAATACATATCTCTAAATACAGATGATCTAAACTAAAATGGCATATAATAGCACAACGCAAACATAGCAATAATACAGTGCATCTGGCTTTTATATAGAGAGCTTATCAAGCTGCAAAACACTTCTGTACCAACATTATTACAAAATAAAGCCATGGTAGTTACAAGTGCCTTCTGGATTAAATACTCTACTTGTACTAACAAATACACTGTTGGTTACAGGGGTTGGAAGAAGGCATTCTGGTTAAATGAGTTTTCTTGCTGACACCCATTAGCACTGATTTCAAATGCAGTTCAAAATGCAACAAATGTTTATGCATTTAAACAGTTATTACCCAGTGGTGTAAGTTTTTGAATTTGTTTGTTTACTTTTATAAAAATTGTTTTGTTTAATGGTGTTAATCTTTTTAGTATTTTATCAATATCACGGCCTTGTAGAAGAACACCTTTGGGTGATACAAGCTTTTCCGTGTTTAAATAAAGCCTTTATTATTATTATTATTTCCAAGAGACAATTGATAATAAAGTAGTAAAAAAATGCAAATAATATGAATTTTATGGGGAGATTCTTGCTTGCTTGTGGGAGGCTGTCCCGATTTCTGAGTGACTCCCGCGACTTCCGAACACTTGAGACCTCTAGTTCAACTACCACACCTTTGTCGGAATTGTTAATGGGGTGAATGCCCATATATGGTAATAGTGATGTCACACCAAACCCATATATGGGCATGATAACCTCAAATCATGCACAAATATGGATATAGCTTCATAGACAGAGAGATGTTTGATAAGATATGTCCTGACAGGAGGGATATGAGTCCCTATTGATGCCACCCCCCCCCCCACAACCCTCAGTCGGATCAAAGAAAAAAAATCTAACAGTATGAACCCAGTGTTTTAATTCTTCATAATCAAATTATAATATTTTATACAATTACTGTACTGTACATAGCAGCGTCTATTATTAAGCAGAAGAAACTTTAAAACATATAAAGTTGCATTTTAAAAAACATCAATATAAACATTATTTAAATATTTACAAGCTAATCAACACCTATGACGTAAACATTCTCAATATCATTAAAAAGTAACATCACATAGACATAAAGATAATCAAACAGATACTTCAATTAAATGTACTGTATGTTATGATAAGGATCATTTTGATTTTTAAAAAAAAATACATAGAAAAATAGATAAATAAAAATGGGCAGAGGATTGGGTAAATCGGTGGTGCCGGTTCATTGTAAAAAAAAAAAACTTCATAATTGAAGACTTGGCCCAGGAGTATTTCAGCATGGCAACAGTGTACCAGTTTGCACATTAATATTTTATTTAATTTTTTTTACATTATATATAAAAAATACTTTACTCCAACTTAACATAATATGAATTTAGAAATAAATAAATTGAGATTTGTTGATTGAGTGGAGACTGATTTGTGCTGTGCTAAACACTCAGCATGCTAAAGCCTGGGGAACACAAAAGCAAATGGTTACAGTTGGCTGAATGTGTGGGTATCCCCATAAATTAGTGACCAAATATCTATTAAGACAGGCTATCAAATTTTATTTGACAAAAACATATGACATGCCTAAATATAGTTATAATGACATACATCATGACCATATATGGGCACATCATAACTATATATGGGCATTCAACAGTTTTGAGTACACAGTTCACTTACATGTATCACCTGGATTGGCCAATCAGAAATACTCATGTCCTTCAAATATTTCATCTTTCAATTTAAAACAATACTTCATTATCATGGAATTAAAATTAATCTTAAATAAAGTAGAGTTCCTGAACTAGCGCATGATGTTACTTCACTATATAATTTAATATAATACTATTCTAATAAGCCTATCATTAATTACCAATTCTCTTAATTAATTTTTCAAAAAACTTGTATACTTTATAGTATGTAAAATCTGCCACTGATTACTAGTTCATTCTCATCTAGTTTCATTCTGATTAAATCCGTTTTCAATATCGTTCAACAAAGCGATTGTCTCGGTGCTCATTTGACTATCTTCACGCTCCGATATATGATTCATAGAATCCACACTGGGTGCGTGACTACTTTCTTTATTCGTCGATGGTAAATCCGAAAGTGTTATATCCAAATCTTTAAAAGCATGAAGTAAAAATATAGCAGCTATAATAGTACCAAAACCGGCTAGTGAACCAATAATGTTATTAGCGCCCATTTTCTCCCATTCTTGGTATAAAATCGCAGATGCTATTAAAACACTTGTAGTGAAGAATACGTAGTAAATTGGTGTCACAACGGATGTATTGAATACATCTAGTGCTTTGTTCAAATAATGCATCTGTATCGTGATGAAAATGACTAAGCAAGCGGCAAGGATCCAAAAAAGAGGGTCGGGGAGAATGTTAGTTCCTTCAAATAACTCCTTAAATCCTATACCAAGTCCTTTGCACGCCATTACTGACAACGAACCAATCACTGAGCAGATGGCTACGTAGATGAGTATATTGCTATGGCCATAACGTGGTGCGTAGTAGAATATAAGAATGAGGGATGCTACGAGGACTACGCAACCAAAGGTGATGAATCCTATATGAAAAAAAAACATTAAGTAAAACAAAATTTTACTATTTATGTTATTGAGCCACAGGCTCAGTAAAACCTAAAAGGTATTAATCCAATGCTAACTAAGTTACAGAAATCAAGCTGAAAACTGTATCAGAGGTGGATTCAAGAGGGGGGAGGGTTGGTGGGGGTCACTGCTGTGCCTCTAAAATGGCTGTTTCAAATGAGTAGCCATTATTCTATTCTGAATAATAAAAACCAATATTATGCAAAAATTGACATTGCATTGGCTAATCATAGCACTTCTGAGCAAGCCACTTGCGAGACAAAAATTCAAATTTTTATAATTTTCTGACAAATTAAAAAGAAGGCTGGTATCTGTTTACATAAACTCATGTTTAGTGGCACAATCAGTGGTGTTGAGGAGTCTTGAAATGGGGGTTTATGTGGGGAGG